GAAGAAGAAGAAGAAGAAGAAGAAGAAGAAGAAGAAGAAGAAGAAGAAGAAGAGAGAGGCAGGCAGGCAGACAGACAGACAGACAAGACAGACAGACAGAGGTTTCATTTTAAATTTCACACACCAGAATAAGTGCGTGCCTGTAGGACAGTCCTGATAAGCTGCGTGACAAAAAGCTGTTGTGTGTGAACGTGTGCGTTCCGAAGATACACACAGCCTAGTTATCTACGTGACACTGTACGTGCATAGCGACACTGACTGACTGACTGACTGACTGACTGTATCAAATCAACCTTACACACAACAGGATGCTATAGCGTCGAGGAGTGCTTGTCAAGTTGTAAAGACGCACCCTATGTTTCTCGTTGTAAATATTAAACAAAAACTTGTTTTCTTTTACGACGTAGGCGTTTTACGCACCCATCGATGCATTTAAGCCATTTACGGGGTGGGCTTTGACCCTCAGCCCGGGCTAGAGGGATGCAATGACCAAACAGAAAGACCAAAGTAGTCGATCAAAATTCTCTCCACATGGGCTTTGAACTCGGGTTTTTTGCTTCCCCCGGTGAAGAGCCTAACCAACCACTACACTACAGAGGCTGGCGACGAAAAGTGCTGACACTTGCCAGTATCGTACCCCCCCCCCCCTCCCTTGCCATAATACCCTCTTCCAGCTCTCCTTTTGGAGGTCTTAGCACGTGTTGCTCGCCTGCTGACTCTACCTGTGTTTTTGGCATACTTCAAAAAAAAAACTATAACGTGTCATTCTCCAGTTTAGACCCTTCATAAATCTACCTCCAATTACGTTTTAGTTATTTGTTTAATGACGACGTAGCCTACACTTTAAATCTATATTTTTGAGTTTTAAAAAGTCATGTTTTGAACTGGGAACACAATGACCTTTAAAAATGGAAGAACGAAACTGAATTGGAAAAAAAGAAGCGATCGAACTATTTGCCCACAAAAGGGTTACAACTTTTGCTGAAGTTCACAAAGTGTAAATGACAGGAGGATGGCGAACCTTTTTTGTTGTTGCTCCAGTCTCTTTTACTTTTGGTTTAGCGATCTCTTCGGATTAACCTGCGTCTCGCCCTTTTTGTGTCTATTTACAAGTAAAAGGTTGCCACATTCACACGATGCGGGACAGTGGTATTTCATTTTACTTTGATGGCGTTGGACTCAGTTAAATGGGCTAACTTCAACATTTTAAAAACTGGATTTTGTTCTCTATGTTGTAAAGCATGGCCTAGTACACCATCTCAATAAATGGTGTAAGAATTCAATAAATAGAAATGCATGAAACACCGACATAAGATCTGAACTGAAGTTGTCATTGATTAATGAATTAGTAATTATAGCCTCTCTTGTTACTTGTAGCACATACGTTCAGGGAACTGGTCCATCTGCGTCAGACACTGTCGTTTTATTTTTTTTTAAAGTAAGGGCCTCGAAAAATAAAGTTCATTATAGCCTATTAAGTAAAACAAAGGAATCGCTGAAAAACAAAACAAAACCTATATAAACTTACCGTTTCTTCCTTGCCCCATTTGAGAATGTTGTCATGGCGTATGCCATTATTATCCACCTTCAGGTTACTCCTCCAATGAAAGGCTTTACGTTAACACTGCCTGCACTTGGTCATGAGACAAATAAAAACCCCGACAAGTTGTAGATCCTTCAGAATTCCCTACATGCTCCACTAATCCTTGTCAGTGCAGAATTTGAACTGTATCAAACAAACACGCTTCTTGTAAGAAGACTTTCGTTATTTATAACACACCAGTAGAAGTCGTTAATAAATCTGTCAGGGGGTGAAAAGAAGAGGGTGACCGATCAAAACGAAACCTCAACTCTCAGCTCATGACGTGAACCTATTCGAGCACACACGTATTTTCGCGGCAATGGACAGCAACGGTTGTAGGCAAGACGCTCAGGATAGTGTAACGGTGAATAGGTTGTCGGCCTAGCAATTGTACTGACTTCTACAGTCTTGTTTCTACACACGGTCGTCTCAGACCGTCACTCGTTCGCGCAATGTTACGACAAACCGCAAATGCACCCTTACGCACCGACTGGCGTATTTTCCGTCTCTTCTACTTTGAACCAACACAGAGAGCGCACTGCGCACTCTCTTTCGAAAAGGACACAGCTAGGAACACGGCCCCCTCTGTGGAGAGGTGACAGTCAAGGTGTGTGGGAGACTTGGAGTTGGAGTGCCTCGAGTCACGATGGACGACCATGTGATTGGCCCACGCGGAGTGTGGAGGTAAACACGGACATTTAAAAGTTTACACTGAGCAGCGCTGGCAGGCCACGCACTGATAAAGATAATCCTTTACGAAATAAAAGGACAAGAAAAGCCGTAACTTAATCTCACACCCCATATCAGATCCCTCCGAGAATGATACTGAGATTTTCAAAGGAGCATGCCATTTCTGAGGAGTGTTTTCTCTTATTGCACACAGATAAATCTAGCTTTTTTTTTAGTGTTGTCATGCTGGACTATGGTACCGATGACGCTGCAAAGTTCGAATCCCCAGCGATCCTTTCTGGACTTTGAGAGAGAGAGAGAGAGAGAGAGAGAGAGAGAGAGAGAGAGAGAGAGAGAAAGAGAGAGAGAAAGAGAGGGGAGAAACAGAGACAGTCAAACACACATAAGACGGACACACTTTTTACAGATAGGTAGTAAATAGATAGATGTCGAGAGAGAGAGAGAGA